ATGGTACATACATAGGTGCTTATAGTAGGGTATGTTTATATAAATGAGTTTGTAAAAGGGGACGTAGCTCACAACGCAGGCTTTTGTATCAGCCATAACTTCGGAACCACAATTTACATCGCCCCTTTAAGGTTAAACTCCTACCTGCGTAGATTGAATGAGGATGTGCCGAATGAGTGTCCGGCATGCGGAGAGACCCCACATGACTCGAAACATCTCTTCGCATGCCCGGAAAACCCGACAACCCTAACGGCCTTGTCCCAGTGGACCAACCCCACAGAAGCTGCACGCTTCCTCGAGTTGCCGTTAGTGGAACTTGACGACAACGACTGAGATACCAACCGTCCTAGGCGGGGTTGTTGTAGCCGCTACAACAACAACAACTAACGTACGCTACAACAACAACAACATCTAACGTACGCACCTCGTACTCTAGATATATGTAACTCGTAGATTAAAAACGATCTGAAATAAAGTTAATTTAAGCAACTAAACCTTCGTTATTTAACTTGGAACATTTACTGGCGACGAGACCAACAACCATCGTGAGAGATCTTTCAAAGAATATGGCGAACGAGAATCTCATCCAGGAATTAATCCAACAAACAAAGATTCAACAGTCAATGTTTAACAGTGATAACCCTAGCCGCAGAGTCGACAGTGGTCTCTCCGTTTCATGCATTCCATAAAGACCAACAGAATTGGGAATCATACCTTGAGCAACCTTCGCAGCATTTCCTGGCATATTCGGTAAGCAGTCCAGAAAAGCAAAAATCATTATTTCTTTCGTGGATTGGTAAGCAATTGAACCTGCAAACGAAACATTCAAAGAATTTACTTCCAAATTAACGGAACACTTTGAGTCAAAAGGACACATTGATGCTGCTCGCTATGAATTTTTTAAGCGTGAGATGAAACACACGCAATCACAGAGTGATTCGGAACCTTAAGTCACATAAACGTAAAATTTGGTATGCAGACATGTTGTTGTTGTTGTAGAAGCATACAAGCTCCCCAAAGAGTTTTTGGGGTGTGCTGCTGGAGTGACAGTCCTTGGCCAAATATAAATCTGGGACGCTCTAGTTACGTAGACCCGACTGTCGTGGGAACGGGTATGCAGACATATCTATGTTAGGTGCTTATACTAAGGTGTATAGATATAAATGAGTCTGTAAAAGGGGCGTGGATCATCTGATAGGCGTGCAATTTTTAATCAGCCATAATTTCTGAAGTCACATAAACTCGAAATTTTGTATGCAGACATATCTATGGTACATACATAGGTGCTTATAGTAGGGTATGTTTATATAAATGAGTTTGTAAAAGGGGACGTAGCTCACAACGCAGGCTTTTGTATCAGCCATAACTTCGGAACCACAATTTACATCGCCCCTTTAATTCGTTCTGATATGCCTTTCGAATTTACAGGACTGTTTCCAGTTCGCTTAGCATTTTCAATGACAATAAACAAGAATTCCTTAAAGCAAAACCCAAAACTTAATCGAAAATAAAATCTATGATAATTGCATTGGAAAATGCATTCATGTTAATAGAGGCTTTGAAGTATTAAAAACATGCCGTGAAATAATATTAGAGTTATTATTCCAAAGAAATTAGATAGCTAAAATTTTAATATTACAACATTGGTATTTCTACTATTACTTACATACATATATTATTTATTGGAGATATTTTAATGTAAATAAAAACTCCTTTTTGTGAAGTCGGTTAATAAAGTGAAAATTTTAAATAAATCACGCCATTTCAAATTCTTTTCTTTTTTTGTTTTTATATAGATAATAAATAAATAGAGAGAAATTCATATTTATGAAAGGTATTGTAATTACCTGTGAAACGATGTTAATTTTCAAAAAATCGGTTGGGAATTTTTTAAGAAAATGGGCATTTTAGGATTTGGAAATTAACAACTCCCCTCCTTCTAGCAGCCATAATATTTATTTGTAGCCATAATATTTATTTGGGCCTCCCAGGCTCACTTATCCATTTTCCCCGGGATGAAGTCGCTATTCTGCACTTGTTGCAACGATGTTATTGTACTATTTGAAAGGCTTGAAGTCTAACCTGATTGTAATGTTGGGAATATTTGGCATAGTGGCAACTCAAGGGCGGGCTTTAGATTGGTAACCCCGGAGTACAGCAAAGTTTGTAATTTTAACCAACTTGTATGGCACTATTTTACAATATATAATGCACTTTCCCCTAAATTTACAGGTTATTTACATTCAATATATGCGCGGTTAGAGTGTGCACGTTCAAACAAATAAATACTTTTAGTATATTACAGCTTTTTTATCAAAAATTTATTGTTGTTTATTTTATGAGAGTACATGCAGAATATGCGCAAATGGCAGCAGGACTGTTGTCATATCTAAAAACCAAGAGTGGAAAGCAAGACCAAAGAAAATACGATTAAAAGGAAAATACGATAAGGTTCTTTTGTTCAGATAAAAATAAATAGTAGGGGGCTTGGGGTCATATTCCCCTCTTCCGGCAACACAGAAAGGAGAATTCTACGTAGTGAGGGTTATAATCCCTAAGTGCGGCCGAAGGCCGCCTACGCAGAAAGGTGCAGTTGGCTTTCCTTTATGGCCAACCAAAATAGACATCACTGGGGCGCCAGCCCCAGGTTTACCACACAGAAAGGGAATTCTAGTTACCTCATCCTTTCCCAAGGTTACATCACTGGGGCGGTAGCCCCAGTTAGTTCACACAGAAAGGAGAACTCTACGTAGTAAGGGTTATAATCCCTAAGCGCGGCCGAAGGCCGCCTACGCAAAAAGGTGTTCGGCCCCATTTCTATGGCAACACAGAAAGGAGAATTCTACGTTGTAGGGTTATAATCCCTAAGCGCGGCCGAAGGCCGCCTACGCAGAAAGGTGTTCAGCCCCTGATCCCCCTACTATTTATTTTAATCTGAACAAAATAACCTTATCGTATTTTCCTTTAAATTGTATTTTCTCTTGGTCTTGCTTTCCACTCTTGGTTTTTAGATATGGCAACACAGTCCTGCTGCCATTTGCACATATTCTGCATATACTCTCATAAAATTAAACAACAATCAATTTTTGGTAAAAAAGCTGTAATGTACTTAAAGTATTTATTTGTTTGAACGTGCACACTCTTACTGCGCATATATTGAGTGTAAATAACGTGTAAATTTAGTGAAAAGTGCATTTATATTGTGAAATAGTCCCATACAAGTTGGTGAAAATTACAAACTTTAATAACAAATTACTTAAAAACTATAAGGTTCCGCGCTTTAAAACTTTACATATACTCCCTTTAGAACCCCCTCTACCGCCCTATTTTCCTTAATTCCGTACTCGGGGTTACCATTCTAAAATTTTCCCCAACTCAATACGCTTTGTTTTGGTTATTTGTTAAAAAAAAAACCTGGTAAAAGTGCTATAAATCTACGTTACAAAAAAACTAAATCCGAGCAAAAAATCACTAATTATCTGGTGTACTTAAAAACAGTTGTGGCATTTTGTGAGCGAATGCACAGATTTTTCCCCCATTTTAAAGAGGCTCGCCTGAAGAGTCCGGTAGTCGGAAGAGAAAGAAAAGCATACCATTGAATTCCTTGGTATTTGCTCTTTCACGGGGCGGTGCCACGCCACATTCATTTTTTTGTACCAGCCTCGAACAAACAGATACTATGCGGAACATATCCTGCGATTCCTGCAGATCTGCAAAAAGGATTTTTAGAAGCATTGGCACGTCTAACCGCCCTTTAACTGCAGATCTGCGTACATCGCCACAATTACGCGCACTTACCAAATTTGAATATGACGAATTATTTTCATTATCGTTTATTGTGTATGCAGAACCAATAGTAGGCATGTTAAGAATACGTCGAAGATAGCGTCTGTACAGAAAAAAAACACAAATTTCTTCTTTATAGGGAATTTACATGATTCAACTTTCACAGGCGATTAGTTGAACCAAAAGTTGAACGAAAGTAGGGAGCCGTCCAACTTCATTGTAAGCGATTAGTTGAAAGATTATCTACGATACGATACGAGTAAATATAAGAACAGCCTCGATACTTTTAGTCCGATAACAATTCATTTTTGTATTGACACATTTGGATCAAGTACTGAATAGGTATCGAAAAATAATAAGGGTATTCATCATGCATTTATAAGGTATGCATTGTAAACCGTATAAACTTATAATTGTGTAAACCTTATAAATGAACTGTCTAAATTTGTATGGAAACTCGTTTACACATTTCTGATAAATTTATCCAGCGATTTCACTGAATAAACTTGATAAACTGAAGACAATGCCACTCTGTCGCAACTCTAGCTATGTTTTCTTAGGTAATAATCGGGATCCGCATACAAATTTTGCACGCAAATTCAACAACGATATGATCCTGATAGAGATCTGGTTCAATTATTATCCCGTCTGTTTTGTTTCACTGATAATTCGCAAAGTTTCGTAGCCGTGACAAATGAATTCATACACAAACAGACATTCTGCCTTTGTTTCTTATAACTTGCTTCAAATAAATAGCCTTTATGTTATATGTACATTTATTTAAATAGATATCTCGTAAATATAATTTTTTCCAATTTGTTCCAATTGTTTCTTATAACTTGCTTCAAATAAATAGCCCCTATGTTATATGTACATTTATTTAAATAGATATCTCGTAAATATAATTTTTTCCAATTTAGTGAGGTAGTTTCTATAATTTCTTTATCCCCGTGCTAGTAGTATAAAGTTAGTGACACTGCGCTTTATAACCAAAGAAAACACGACTATTGTCNTAAACAAAAATGTACGCTAGCAAGTAAAATAGGTTTGCAAAGGTATTTTTAATAAAATTTTAAGTTAAAATATATTTATATTGCTTATTATAGCAGAAAAACGTGATCACGGTGGCACAGAGAAGCAACATAACTTTTCCTTGAGATGTGAGAATAACAAGCACAACAAATTTGAGGGCTAATAATCTGAGATTTGCCTGTGTAAACGGGGTGATTAAAAAACGAGCTTTGATTGAGATAATATTGATATGTGAACATAGTTTAAGGAACGCTCCTATTATCTGCTTGATTAAGTTATCGGTTTGGATGAATACCACTAATTATTGTATCGAATACCACATCCTAACACGGAGTCTGCACGTACCTACAACATGAAAGCAAGTTGCAACACACTCGCAGTTTACTTACTTTCCTACTTTTACAACTTGAACGTCGACTTTATATAAATTTTTGGGAAATGTTTAGCTATTTGTACAACGATTTAGGGGTGGGGCTGAGGGGGAAGGGGGTGTGGGCCCCGCAAACCCCCCCCCTCTTAACGAAAGAGGATTGACGAAAAGGATCATTCCCACGACAGCCGGTTCTACGATTCAGCGATCTAACCCCGTCTAGATCGGCGATACCCACCAATCATTATTCGTCTATGGAGCAATACCTTGCAGCCGGATTGCTCCGCATCCTTCTTCTCCGGGCGGGCGTAGAGCCCAACCCCGGACCTGAAACTTACTTCTGCTGTGTTTGCCAGAATCGACTCCACCCGAACTCCACTTCGGTTAGGTGCAACTCCTGCAACGGATGGAGTCACCTAAGAACCTGCTCTGGCCTTAGGTCTCACCGGGAGTGGACCACAAACTTTGTGGCTCCCTTTTGCTCAAGCCAAACGACACCATCAGCATCCACGGCTACCCACTCGCGTAATGCACGGGTGCGACCTAGCACCCGAAGAGCCTGCACGGCCCCTAGAAGCTCCCCTGAGCAACAGCAAACCTCCCAACACACCCCTCCCACACAACCTACCGGCCGGTCCCACTCGCGAGCGCGAGCCAACCAGCAGCTACTGGTTGCCCACACCATCTGCTCCGTGTGCCAGAACAGAATATACCGGAATGTGACATCAGTCAAATGCAACACATGCCTTGGCTGGTGCCACTTCCGGCTATGTTCTGGTCTACGCACCACTCGCGAATGGACTACAAACTACAGCGCCCCTTGCTGTAGTGCACCGCCGGCGCAGACAACAACGCCCATATCGCAGCCACCTACCATCAGGCTGCAACAGCAACTGCGTCAGGCGCAACAGGCCCAAGGTAGGCCCCACACTTCTCTGACCCCCCGTATCGCGACCAGCCTCCCAAGGCACATGAACGTACTCCAACTCAACTGCAACGGACTCCAGAGCAAGATTGAGGAGATAGCAGTCTTCATGGGTCGGCACGGCATATTGATAGCTGCGGTCCAAGAAACGAAGTTGCACAGCAACTCAACTCTGTTGGGTTGCGCCGCCTACAATGTGCTCCGTAAAGATCGCGAGCGAGATAATGGTGGAGGACTAGCGTTCATTCTACACCACACAGTGCAGTATCGGCTAATCGAAGAAGACATCGACCCAAGGGACACTACCCTAGAATGTCAGGGCATAGCTGTCCGGTCAGGCGATGTCGAGCTCGAAATATTTAACGTGTACATACCCCCTGTCACCTGCTGCCCGGCTGGATATCTCCCTGACATAGGTGCGCTACTCAGAGGCGAAAACCGATTGGTAGTAGGTGACTTCAATGCGCACCACGATCTTTGGCACTCAAGCCTGGCCAATGATCGGAGGGGAAACAGTTTGGCTGAGCAGATAGACGATTCGACATTCTGCACCATGAACGACGACGCCCCCACCAGGATTGTGGGCAGCTGCAGCAGCTCGCCAGACGTAACAATTGCTAGCGCTGGTCTGATAAATAGCATATCATGGCGACCTATGCTAACGTTAGCATCAGACCATCTGCCCATAATCATCTCGATCAATAAGCCCACCGACTTTGCTCCCGCGGATCACCGAACCTACACCAACTTCAACAAAGCTGATTGGAACGGCTTCGCGGAAGTTACCGAGAGCAGCTTCGCCGCCCTCCCCACACCCACAGACGTACATGCTGGCGAACGCCAGTTCCGCAAGGTAGTCACAGCCGCAGCAGCTCGCTTCATACCGTCCGGACGCATCGCGGAAGTCCGCCCAAATTTCCCGGCTGAAGCAGCTGTACTAGCAAATGAGCGTGACCACCTACGCCAGGTCGACCCCGGGGACCCTCGCTTGAGGGAACTTAATTTGGAGATTCGGCAACTGGTAAATCAACACAAGCGGACAAAGTGGGAAGAGCACTTGAAGGCCTGTAACTTCACCTCTGGTGTGAGTAAGCTCTGGTCAACCGTGAGGTCCTTGTCCAACCCGACGAAGCGTGATGACAGAGTGGAAATTTCATTCGAAGGTCACGCCTCATCGGACCCGAAGAAATGCGCGAACTATTTCAGTCGGCAATTCACACTGCATCCTTCGGTAGACAAGGCCAAACGTCGAGTGACCAGGAGGCTGCACAAACTGCCCAAAAACAGTGCACCACTTGTTTTCACCAGCGGTGAAGTGAAGGGGGCCATCGGGAAGGCGAAAGCCTCCAAAGCCATTGGACCCGACGGAATCTGTATGCTGATGTTGAAACATTTGGGGCCTGTGGGAGTAGCATACCTCACGGAGGTCCTCAATTTGTCTATGACCACTCTCATCATTCCTGATGTGTGGAAATCAGGGAGAGTGGTCCCACTGCTGAAACCGGGGAAGCCCGCCAACAGAGGAGACTCTTATCGCCCGATAACGCTCCTTTCCCCGGTCGCGAAGACACTTGAGGCCCTGCTGCTCCCATACTTCACCTGCCACCTAACCCCAGCGAAACATCAGCATGGCTTCCGTAAAGTGCACAGCACAACAACAGCACTTAACGCCATAAACACCCAGATAACTCGTGGCCTAAATCGCAACCGCCCCTGTGAGAGAACTGTCCTAGTAGCGTTGGACTTGTCAAAGGCGTTTGACACCGTCTGCCATTCCACGCTGCTAGAAGACATTGAGGCCTCCTCTCTCCCACAGGGACTGAAGCGATGGTCGGCGAATTATATGAGTGGTCGACAATCATCAGTAATCTTCAGAGATCAAACCTCGAAACCAAGAAGAATAAAACAAGGGGTTCCACAAGGTGGTGTTCTCTCCCCCTTACTTTTTAACTTCTACATCTCGAAACTCCCCCAGCCTCCTGAAGGAGTTTCCCTGATCTCGTACGCTGATGATTGTTCGATTTTGGCGTCCGGGAATGGAATTGATGACCTCTGCTCAAAAGTAAACGGTTATCTCTCCAGCCTTTCTCGCTTCTTCACTGCAAGGAGCCTAACCCTCTCCCCAACGAAATCAACGGCGACCCTCTTCACCACCTGGACGAAGGAGGTCAGGCTAGAATTAGGCATTCACGTCGACGGCACACCTATACCGACGGTGAACAACCCAAAAATTTTAGGGGTTACCTTTGATAGCCTGCTCTCCTTCTCCGCGCACACAACCGCAGTTGTCAACAAAGTACAGAGCCGCAACAAGGTCCTCTATTCGATCGATTGAAAAGTGTTACTACGCTTTCTACTACGGTTTTCTAGAGTTTTTTTTGTGAAAAAAGAGCACAAGGCAACTCAGGTTTGCAATAGAAATATATGACCGTTCCACTATTTCTTGAGGAAAGAATGAGGCAACAGGCTGCGAGGTATCAAAACTGTCAAAATTCCTTGGACACACACGCGAAATATTGGCAATATTTTCTTGACCGTTTTCTTGAGAGCTGCATACAGGGCTTAAACAGTTATTCAAAGCAAAATTATGAATGTAAGTAACAGAAAATACTTTAAAACGCCAGAGTTTTTGTTTTTAACAATATTTTGGTATATGAATAAAATATAGTTAATAAAAAATAAAAGTGTTATTCATTTTAACATGAGTGTACACATCATTATACACAGAAGCCAATAAATTATTTTATAATTGTGACATTTTTGAATAGCAATAATCATCCCATTGTCAGTGTTTATATATACAAAGAATTCTATACTTTTCATTTTAAAACTACTTTTAATTTGAAGTTCACTTTCAAAAATTTTAATTAGAAGCCGGTTTCTCTCTTTGCGCCAGGAAACAAACTTTATTCTTAAGATCCTCTCAGTTGCTTCGTTTCAGTGTGGTATTAAAAAAAAATATATAAAATTAAATACGTTTTCTTAC